CTAAAACACGTTTAGTTGAAAGTTGAAAGGTGAGGAGTATAAAACATAAGCTACAAATGCCATGGCACACAAATAGATAAAAATACCAAAATACAAGGGGAGATACAAAATGCATGCATACAAATTTTAAAACACAATTCCTTATCTTAAACTGAAAGAGAGAGGAAGGAAGAAAAGGTAGAAAAAGAGAAACATATCCAAAGAGGGGAGAGCAAATGTAGGCAAGAGGAAAAGGGGCTTTCTGCTACAGCTCATGTTCATCTTGGAGTTAATAATGACTCCGAGATCCCTTTCCGACTCGGTGCTTTCAAGAAGGGAACTCCCCAGCCTGTATGTATGCTGTGGATTCCTTTTCCCAAGGTGCAGCACCCTGCATTTGTCTACATTGAACCCCATCCTATTCTCATCTGCCCGCTTTTGTAGTCTGCCTAAATCTAGTTGCAGCCTCTCTCTCCTTTCAAGTGTGTTCACCTCGCCCCACATCTTAGTGTCATCAGCAAATTTGGACAGCGTGCTTTCCACCCCCTCGTCCAAGTCGCTGATGAAGATGTTAAACGGTGTGGGCCCGAGGACCGAGTCCTGGGGTACCCCACTGCTCACATCTCGCCAGGTTGAGTACAGCCTGTCCACCACTACTCTCTGAGTGCGCCCCATCAACCAGTTTTTTTACCCATCCAACTGTGCAGGCATCAATGCCGCAGTCGCTTAATTTATTGATGAGGATGGGGTGAGAGACAGTGTCAAAGGCCTTCGTAAAGTCTAGAAAGACTATGTTCACAGCGACACCATCATCCAAGGATTTAGTTACTTGGTCATAAAAGGCAATCAGATTGGTCTGGCAGGAAGCAATCACTAGAGAAGCAACAACAGAGAAGCAATCACAATTTTATTTTAAACCATAGTTGCTAGGATGGGGGGTATTACCTGCATTTGTTCAGTGGGTTGGACCAAATTACCCTTATGATTATCCAGGTTTTGGAATATTCACCCAGGATGCATGACTCCCAAGTTCAGTTCCCTGTGATTTGAGGATTTTCTGACCCACCTTTGTCATCTTCCAAGACAGTGTGCCCTGACCCCCAGCTTATAGATTGTTCTGAGGTAGAGACACTCTTCACCTCTCTTGTTGAAGCTGCTCCACTGTGCAGAAGAGGATGTTTAATGACATAAATAGTTAAACCACTTTAAAATTATAGTGCTTTAAAGGTGATCAGATATGTCTGTTTCATCTCCCTGTTCTATTCCATTAAAAGTAGAAACTAAGTTTGTGGAGCATCATTGTAGCTGTGATGGTCTAGAAAATATATGAAAGGCAAAGATGACCTGAAAAAGGGCACTTTGGCCTGAAAGTTTGTTCAGCATCTCTCCTAGTGATAAAGTTGATTTAGTAAAAGATACCAAAACTAAACTGTTGTAACTTTAAATTTGTTTAATTCAGGTTTATAGTTACAGTGCTTTAGTTGCACTATGCAATTCTGGGAGTGGGCAGATGAAACTCTATATTGGATCAGCTCATGCCCTCTCCCAGGCTCGTGCCCCTTCTCCCCACAGCCTGTTTTAAATTGGTTTAGTGTTACTTTTATCCACAGCTGGAAATCAAGATTCACTGGACCAGAGCAAGAGCCAAAGTGAGCTTTACTCTGTAGCCTAATTATTAGGGCAGTCATTTGGGAGACTTGTATCTTACATTAAACAGCTCTTGCATTTTATGTGATGCTCATCCCTATAAGTGTACTGTGAAAATGCCTTGCTGATAAAGCCCCTCAGGAGAAACACCTAGTTTCTTGATCCCAACTGGGCTTAGGAATGAGATAGGTGCCAAATTGCTCAGCCTGGACTGAACTGAGGCTCTTGTGTGGTTTAGAAGTAGCAGACCAGGAGTTTTCAGTGCTGAAGTTTTTGAATTTGTCCCTAACTTCCAACTACCTCTGTCCCTTTAGGTATTAAAATCCTTTTTTTTTTCTTTTCTTTTTAAGTCTTGCTAAATACAAGATTATGTACAAATGTAAGTATGGGAACTCTTGATGCTCAGGGAGAGACATCCAATCTATAGATGCTATTGTACTGCAGAAACAAGAAAATACTTTCTTTTTGTGTACTTTCCTGCCTCTTTCATTGTGCATTTTTCACTTTCTTCAACAAGTGAATCAGAGGTTGTATAGATAACAGCTTTATTTGCTATGCAAGTCTAATCTTATTTTTGCTGCTAGAGAGTTGACTATCCTGACCTTAAATTTCATATTGAATTGTTTAATTTCTGTGCACTGTCTGTCCCTGGCACTGAATGAGGTAGTAGTTCCCTGGAGAAAAATCGCATATGATCATGCAATAAGAGTCTATATCAAAGTACATGCAAAGGGATGCTGAAATAATTTTGTTTGTCACCCTAATTTTGGTAACTTTTGAGTATCTAACATTGGAATCTTAAGATGAATTCAATGGTTGGGTTAGTTTAAACATAGTAGTATCCCACATTTTACAAAAACTGAACCAACCCCCCTCCCCCCAAACTCATTTTGGTTATAACCACCATCTTGGCTCTGAGATGGATCGTTAGTAGAGAGAGAACCATTTGATTCAGCATAAACCTACGCCTCTTAATCTAATGCAGGGGTTGTCAACCAGGGGTACGCGGGAAGGCTCCAGGGGGCACACAGCAGAGGCGTGGAGAAAGCAGGGCACTTCTGGTTTCGCTGGTGGCACTTCCAGTTTTGCCATCGGTGCTTCTGCTTTTGCCACTGCGTGTGGCCCCCCACAGGAGTAGCAAGATATTTTCTTTTACTTGGACCAGTTGCTAGAGAGGGATGAGATGCTGCTTTATTAGAAGCATTTACAGCCCAAATGCTAGGCAGCAGAGAAATAAAGTGACTTTGAAATCCTGGATCCTATTTCAGGATCTGACAGGAGAGTGCTTTTATTTCCAGGCCCTTCTTTCCTTGCCTACTCAGAGATACAGAGCCTCTTCTGCTTCTGCTCTGCATCTTTCAGCTGGTGCCTATCTCTATCACTTGACAGCTTATCTCTGTCCGCTATGCTTCTTCTCTCGCTATAGTCTAGCCTGGGAGCTTCATCTTCCTCACCCCCCATAATGTGCACCAGCAGTGGAAATATTACGTGCCTTTCTGTGTTCAGTTTCTGTGTCCAAAGCTGCATTCCTTAGCTGTCAGAAGGGTTATTACTGGAAAAAAATCCTACTCTGCAATTTTAGGCTTGGGTTTGGGTATCGTTAGTGCATATGTTGCCAAAGTCCAATAGAATCTTAGAATTTGTACAGACTTTGATGTTTCTTCAGAGGAGGCAAATTATTTATACCTGACTTGAGGTATTTCAGTTCCCTGCATGAGTGACTGATGCCTCCTGAATTTGGGGGGGCACCTGCAGAAGCTGCCCCCTGTCAGGGTGGCACCAGCCCTACCAACAGTATCAGTGTCGACCATTGGGGGGGGGGCACCAGCCCTGTCTGTTGGGGCACATGCACCCCCTACCAGTCGCCTATGTTTCCCTGTTTGTACCTCAGTTACTCGAACATTTAGAAAACAATTTTGTAACGGGGACAAAACAACATGCTTTTCTTTAACTTATTCTGGGAAGCAGTTGAACTTATTTTGGTGAAATAATAAACATAATTTTGGACACCTTGCATGGAAAATTTCAGCCCAAACAGTTGAAATTTGGCAGTTATAAGTGACTAAAAGCAGAGCCTTATAATGGAATGGGTTAGTCAGCCTCCTCTATAGGTATTGCACTAGTAGCTCTCCCTGTGATATAAAACTTTTATGTTCAAGGTCAAAAAGAATAAATGAAAGGTAAATTTCATCTGCACAACATGTTTAACTTTATAAACAATGCAAATGAAAGCCACTATCTTGCATTTATGGATGTGTTTAACTTCATGCATGTGACTAATCTTATTTAGGCATGTCAAAGATATGGCCGGTGGGTTGGTCTCAGACCCACCCTTTGTGCTGCTTGTGTCGCATGCTGGGCCTGGCCTCACATGTTGTATATGGTACACAAGTTGGTCTGGCACAAATTGCATTTGATGACTACACTGCACTGACATTGTATGCTGGCTTCATGACTAGATTGGCCCTGGCATATACTGAAGCCAGTGCTCAGGGCCAGTCTTGGGGTGGGGGGGAGGAGGGCACTGCATGTAGTGCACACTCCAGACTGGTGCCAGTGCATGCTGCAGGAGCTGCCCATAATGGATGGCCCTGCATACTGGCTCCAGTGTGTGGGGAGATCTGTGGCACCCCCATTTCCCTCATCTGGCCTGTGGGGCTGGATGAATTTGCTCTTAGTCAGTGGGACTACTCATAGGCATAAAGGACAAGTAAATGTGTTCAGAACTGGAGCCTAAATTCCCAGAATTCTGTGGAGATTTTCATTTTAAATAAATAACACCCAGTTTCACAGAGGATGTTGCATAAGAGCATAGTGTGGTTTAAGGATTTTAGTTGAGCTCAACCAGAGGGTTGTGTAAAAGTCCAGTGAACAGAGTCCTTCTTCTGGCCCAGGAGCATACAGGAAGCAAATTGGCTCAGTCATGTTCTCAGCTTCTTGCAGAACTTTTTTTTTTTTTTTTTTGGTGGGGATATACACTGGGTCACTGCTATTTCTGTGAAATCATATGTGCCTTTGTGAATGGAGCCAGAGCTCTGTCTGTTCTCCCCTCACCACATACCCTTCCATCCATATGTGTGCAGGGTATGTAGAAGCTTCACAAGAGGCTTTCTCTTCCCTTGGTACAGCTATATAGCATGTGCACCTGGAGTAAACAATTTTGGGGGTAACTTTCATCTTACTACTTGTGAAGGCATACAGAATTGGCCACAAGCTGGCCCGGTGAATGTAAAAAGTCACAAAATAGTAATGTCTAGCTGTCTGTCAGAATAAGGAATGTTATATATATATATATATATATTAGTATTTAAGATGTCAAAGTTCTATATGCTTTCTACACATTTTTGTGTATTTTTTTAAAATAAAAATTACAGTAAACAAGCAGCAGGCCAGGCCTGTACCTTCAGATATTGCAGTAATCATGTACACAAGTGGATCTACAGGAGTTCCAAAAGGAGTTATGATTTCTCATTGCAATCTTATTTCTGGTATAACTGGGATGGCAGAAAGGATTCCACACTTGGGGTATGTATCAGTAACCAAACCCAAGACAATTTTCATAAGGACATGTTGTAATTACATGAAGTTCTAGATCAGTGATTCTCAACCAGGGTACCATACGATGTAAGCACTGTTAACTCTTGGCTTATTTTGTTAATACTTTTCAGCTAGGAATTCACAGTGCTAAAATATTTTAACCTATGGTAGACTGAGTTCTTTCCAACATAATTTTTTTCCCACAAAAAATTAGTGAAAACTAAGAGCTGCCATTTTCTGAGGGGGGCCTTCAGTCTAAAAAGGTTGAGAACTGCTGTTCTAGATTAGTTGTTATTGAACATGTTAGCTGTTTCATATGGATTCTTAAATCACATTTTTTATCACACTCGCCTTTCTGATATATTAGAGTGCTTGCCAGAAGTGCTTAAAGTGATGTGATTAATGTTTTTGTTCTGTTTTTCCCTCACACTGTCCTTTTATAGAGGAAAATACGTGCAGTGGAATGTCTTGTTTTGATAAGGTTTATTAGAGAAGGCAAGGTCAAAGCATGCACTACCATGTACCTTCTACATGGAACAAAATAGATACAATTTTGGTCCTTTGTTCTTCTGGGAACTCCTTCCAGTCTCAGGTTGGCCCTGGAGAAAGTGTCACCTCTCACAGATGAGCTTTACTGTTATAGTAGAGACTTGCATTGTGCTAGAGGAGCAATTTTCATTTGTGAGCAGGCACTGGACCATTTTCTTCAGATTTTTTCAAAGGGAGTGCTATTAATTTGCTTGCCTACTTCAAGCTAGGGGCATGACCTCTTACTGGGAGAAAAGCTAAAGCATTTATTGGCAATATTTTGAATCTTTTAAAAATCTGAAAAAAATAGCCAAGAGATTGAGGATATATATAAGAACAGAGCTGTAGTACCCAATGCTGCCTAGATTCCATAAAGCGCTGTGAGTTCCTCATTATGCCTGGGAATGCTAAAGGTCTTGGAGAAGTCCAGTACCAGCATGACAAAGAGGGCTTAAAACTCATCATAGGCCACTCCCCTTTCTAGTCCTTTGCTGCGGTTATACTTGACTTGTATTGAATTGTGCCCATTGAGATTTCTTTATCACTTCAGTTATAGGTGATCATTCTAGAATTTTTTGTTCCCTGTTAAGTAAGGCAAATAACGTGCTTTGCTTATCTGTCCCAAATTTAAAGCAGACATTTCACAAATTCTGAAACAAACCCTTGTGCTCAATAACATGAAACTAGTTCTTAGATACAGACGTTCTTTCACCCCTTCTAGTTCCCTAGGATGTTTCGTTTATATTAAGATTGATGGTTCTCCTGAAAATGCTAAATAGTTTTACAGTGCGATTGTGTCTTTTAAAATTATTTTCAGGGAAAAAGATGTCTATATTGGCTATTTGCCTCTTGCCCATGTGCTGGAGTTAAGTGCTGAACTTGTCTGTTTATCACATGGATGCCGTATTGGCTACTCATCACCTCAGACATTAGCTGATCAGGTACGTGGCTTATGTATGTCAGACAAGGAGTTTTTTTAGCACTCTTAATTTGTTTCAAAATATTATAGGAAAGCAATGGTGGAAACTTCTTATTTTCAAAGTATGAATCAGTATATTATATACCAGAAAACAATACTGGTCTGATTTTCAGCTTCTAAAGTGAAAGCTATCTAAACTCTTTAAGTTTAGGTGAACTATTGTATTTCTTTTTGCATGATAAAATTTTGTGCATAACCTCCTATTTTTCTCTTTTAGTCCTCAAAAATAAAGAAAGGAAGTAAAGGAGATATTACTGTGCTCAGACCAACCCTGATGGCAGCTGTACCAGTAAGTCGAATACCTTTTAAAGGTATTTCATTGTTCAAATGGTGGCTGATAATTCCAGTTTTGTCTAAAACATGGTTGCAGAATGGACTGAGAATGGTAGGTGCATTGGATGAGGAGAGCTGACCCTGATGTTTGTTTTTGTTGTAGATGCTTGTGTTCTGCATCCTGATATGTTAATTCTCAAAGCAAATGCACCATCTTGGATCATTGTGTATCATGTCTTGCACGTGTGGGTTTGTTGTTCCCACGAGCATCGTTGACTCAAGGTTGTGTTTAAACAACCCTTTCATCTTTTAAATGCTGGATATAGACATGGCTACCAGAGCACAGTTGTCCATAAAAGGGTTGGTTATTTTTGGAGGGGTGATTGATTATCAGACATCCTAACAACATAAGAAGACTGTCCTTGTTGTATCTCCATAATCATAATACTTATAATTTAGCATATATGATCAGTAAGGAGCTTAGGAGACTATATTGTCTTTTTGTTTTCTTTATTATTCTTAAACCATTTAAATTGCAGTCAAATGGATTTTTAATAGCTATGGTTTATGCAGTTTTCACAAGACTAAAGAGGTTAGGGCTATCTTTTAGACTTTCCATTTTATCTACAACGTTATGCATCCACTAATCCATAATTTTGAAGACTCTGCCGCCTTTAGAATTTTTTTTGGAAACTGAATTTTATATGAGAGCAACTCGGTACTGAATTAATGTACAACTTAGTGCCTCTGTCATCCAGTGAGGTGACTGGCTTTTAAGAATAGACTGGTTTATTACCTCACTCTTTTTAAAACTAATAGTGCAAAATGTGAATGTATGAGAGCAGAGCAGTCCATGATGACTTGCATATCTTCCTAGTAATGGGTATGAGGTCCAAGTCATTAACAAATAGAAGTTCCTGAACATGTTCCTAGAGCATGTTTTTCACTTGGAGCTGTCTGGGTTTAAACAGTTTTGATTATAATTTGAATACCTTTATTGAAATCATATAAGCAAGGAACAATATGGTAGCAAATGATGCGTTGAATAGTATTGGTGCAGGAATACAGCCTTCTCTTGCATTGAAGAAATTGTCTTACCTTTGCAGTGAAATTAGTAAATCTGTAAATTGGTCAGGGCAGCAAATCGTAGAAATGTCAGTATGCCTTCTGCTGATAGTGAAAAAAGACTTGTGTAAAGCAATAAGGACACAATATTCTGCTCTGTGCATTTCTTTTATATTTGCTGTGCAGCAAGTAGGTCTGAGGTTCCTTTTCTTTAGAAATGCCCTAGCCTTCAGGCAGTAATTTCTCAGCGACATGGCAAGTTAAAGTGGTTAAGCATCTTTCTTGGAAAAATCTGGAAAGGAATCTCTAATAAGGAGGTTTCCTAATGATTGTTGCATATTAAATTATTTGAGTGTGTGTGTGTGTGTGTGTGGACAAAATAAATTTCTGTATATTCTGGGAGGGTCACTTCTTAATGCCGTGTTGACAGAAAAGAGATCTTTGATACACTGGATTAAATAGTCTCTGACAGGTGTGTACATTTCACCCAGAATGGCATCAGGTTAGGTCTTTTGATCATCTTTTTTGGTTTCTGAGACATTAAGCTGTGTAGAAAGAATTCCATTAACAGCACACTGAAGTATTTCATCGATAGCCTCATTACTGATTCTGGATTCCTTTTGGAACAGGCTTTCAAAATGGTTAGGCCATCTTTCCATAATTTATTTCTTTTCTTTCAGAAGGGTGTTTCCATCTGAATTCATAAGAGGATTGGAAGTCCTGGAAGAGGCCCATACCCTATTTTAAGAACAACATACAACTTTTCCATGTCATTTCAGTTAAAGTGTGGCAAGCTCATTAGTTTTCTTGTTTCACTTGGATCTCAGTTTAGATTGAAGAACATTATGCATGTTGTTAAAAGCAGTTTTTTTTAATATTGGTATTTTAACAGTCACCCAAGCTGATTGGTGATATATCTCACCAAGCAGTCTCTCTTATGTTCTCCTTGACCTGTTTTGATGTTTTAGGACTGTTGAACCCCAAGGGTTCAAAACAGCAATGTTAGGTAGACTCCTTCTAGGATTTCCAGTTGGCTTCAATGACAATCAAAGTTGTAGTAACAGCATTCAGCTCAGTTTCTTGAAGCATGTTCAGTTAGCTTCAGTGATGCCAGAGGTTGTATTCAGCTGATAGCTGCCATTTTGTGTGGCTCCTGTTTAAAGGATAAACCTTGGATCTGGTCACATATAGCTTCTTCAAAGGCATTTTGTTCTGGGGATTTGTAGGTGGTTTGACATGTATGTTGAAATTTGCACAGATGAGATGATGGTGCTTTCATGGGCTTGGTAATCTTGACATCATGGATAATTCTTTGCCTGGTAATGTTGCAGTCAAATGTCAATATTTGGGACGGGTGATTCCAGGAAGTGTTTTATGGGGAGCTAAAATATAGTCTTCATAATTACAAAACTGGTGTGCTCCCTTTTGGAGTAACAGACTGTTGCTGTTGCCCTTTACTTTTCCATTTTCACCAGTTTGTCAGGTTATAAGGTGTGACCCGATATGGATATTGAAGTCATCCAGGATTATGAGTTTGTCTTACAATTTGAAAGCATTCATGCGTTTCAGATGACAACACAGTTTGAAAATGTGTATAAAAAAGTTGAAAAAACTTAATTTATCTCCTGATATTTCAGCTTATGTCACTCTTTACTGCATATAGTAGGTAACCTAGATGTCATTTACATGCATGTATTTAAATATGATCTGTAGGCTAGATTTTAGTGCATTTGTCCAACAACATGCACATTTTAAGCAAATTTAAAATTTTAAAATTTTAAAAATGTAAATAGCATGAAAAATTAATTCTCTTGTCTTCTAAAAAGAATTGTGCCTGACAATGAGTCTGCCAACTTTTCATAAAAAGATTGTGGAAAATAGGCCTGGGGATAAATTTCCATACATTTGTAGGCTTAAGGGGAGGAAGGAAAGGGAAGATGTGCATACTTTGAAAAGTATATGTTATTTATAAAATACATTGTTTTTTGCAGTAAGTTAGTTTGCACTGCATGGTATCTCAATAGCCTATTAAAATAAAATACTTTAGTCACCATACTCTTTGTATATTAAAACTTTATAACAGTCTTATTTAATCTATATCTTGCCATTTAACCTTAAATCTAGGGCACTGTCCCTTTGTAGTCCCTTTCTACTAGTAATGAAGGCATGGCAAGAAGGGTATAGGGATTTATCCCCTAAAATAAGAAGCAGAAACAATCTTGTCTATTGCACTTGAAAATACTGAGATAGCTAGCTGATACACTGGCTTCCACATCACATTTGCCAACAGAACATGAGAAACTGGTTAGGAGATGCATAGACTCCAATACACTTTAGCTGCAGTCAGCAACAACATTAATTATCAGTAGGTAGGTCAGAATTGCATAGTGTTCTGTTCAAATTTTACTCCTTGACCTGCCTGAGAGATTCTGCTCCAGGTAACCAATTGAAGAGGGAAAAACGACAATGATTTTGTTGCTTGAAATTGTACTAGCATTTCTAGAGCATAGGTTTTTGGTGCAATTCATTTTAGTATTGATATTAACGTAGTCATATTTAATCTTTTTTCTGTAATTAGGAAATTATGGATCGGATCTACAAAAATGTCATGAATAAAGTGAATGAAATGTCCAGTTTCCAGCGGAATCTATTTATATTGGCTTACAATTATAAAATGGACCAGATTTCAAAAGGCTGCACTACACCACTCTGTGACAGGTACATTTTTCCATTCTGTTTTTATTCATATATTTTTTTAAATACTCATCAAAATGGTAGTTGCATTGGATGAGGAGAGCTGATCCTGATGTTGACATTATTGGCAATTGGCTTCTTTTGGTTGATGTGATCGATAATGTCCCAGATGTGAGCAGTCACAGCATGCATGCAGGCCAGCCTGGCAGCTTGGAGAGCAGCGTCTGGTTGGTAAGTCTTTGGGGGAGGGGTGGAGGGGAGTGGGGGGGTACAGATAGAGGCTCCTGCAGTGAGGGAGGGAATGGGGCTGGGGCAGGCTCTTCCCAGTCAGGGCACAGTGAGGTGCGGGACAGAGATGTGAGTGACTCATCCAGGGGCCACAGGAGGGTGGGGGGGGAAGTGAGGCTGTTCTTGCTGCTGCATGCACCTCCGGGGGAGGTATGAAGGGGGCATGTGCCCCCCAGATCTATGCGTGGGATGATTGTGGGATGCTGCTGCAGGCTGGGGCCGAGGCAGTGTTGGGCTGTTCCTCGTGGAGCGGTGTCAGGGCTGCTTGTGGGGTGAGTGGCGGCAGTGCTGGGAGGAGGGGGTTTGGAGGGGGCTACAGTGAAGTCTGGCATGGTTTTAGTCCACTCTGTAGCCCCTGCCCTGAGCACAGCCCCAGCCCAGCTCCCCCCCCCCCCCCCCGGGCAACACCCTCGACCCCCCCTCCCCCCGGGTAAAAACCTGGCACCGCACTGGCAGCCTGGTTTCACCCCGTGTTCGGGTCGGGGGCGGGCACATGCCCCCCCATGCCTCCCCCAGGGGGGTTTGCAGCAGCAGGAGCAGCCTCCCCCCTGTAACCCTGCTTGGGTAAGCTGCTCATGGCTTCGTCCCGTGCACTGCCCCAGCTGGGCAGTGCCTTCCCTAGTCCCAGCCCCACTCCTTTCCTCACCATGGTGGCCTCAATCTGCCCCCCTCACACCCTTTCCTTCCCCTTTCTCCTCCCCACCCCTTTCCTTCTTTCCCTTCTTTCCCCCCTCTGCCCATTCCCCCCCAACAGACTTACCAGTCAGACGCTGCTCTTCAAGCTGCAGGGCTGCTTGTCAGCAATCGGGTAGTGGCCGATATGGCTCATGAATAATCAGCCATTGGTATCAGCCCAAAAATCTTTATTGGTGCACCCCTAATGAATACAGATTTTGCTAACTAGGTATGTGGTTTAGTCCTCAGTAAATTTATCCAGTTATTTGATAACATTCAATAAGGAAACAGATTATAGGGCTTTACAGTTTCAATAATACATACCTAAGACCGTTTTCATCATCCTGCCAAGTAATATATGAAAATAAAAGCTAAAAACTTTTCATGTGAATTTTTGTCAAAAAACTTAAAATTTAGCATGCTGTTTCATGGAACTAAAATTACGTTACGTTGCACAAATTAAGAAAGACATTTGAAGTTGGTGTAAGCTTTAGGGGGGGTTTTCCCATCCCAAACAATAAAAATTTCCTTTTGTCTTCTTTTTGTCTTTTTAGCCTTATCTTTCGGAAGGTACAAATGCTGCTAGGTGGCAGAATTCGCATCCTTCTGTGTGGAGGAGCTCCACTCTCTGCAGTAACTCAGCGATTTATGAACATATGTTTCTGCTGTCCTGTGGGACAGGGATATGGCCTAACTGAATCTTCTGGGGCTGGAACGATCACTGATGGTCAGTACTCACCTTGCTCATCGAAAACTGTGGTCTCTGTTTGTATATTCTCCAGCAGTGATTTTGTTTTGTGTAGAGGTAGAATATGTAAATGAACATTGCTGTGTATATGTAGTCACAAATTTTTTGAAATATAATGTGATGAACGCAATTTCTAAGACTTGAATCAAGTCAGCCTTATTGACTTGGCTAGGGAAAGCTGAACTGTGTGCAAGTAAGATGCTTTAGAGCAGAGGTTTCAAACATATGGCCCCCAGAGCCAGGTTATCTAGTTCACAAACTTTTGTCCCAATTAGCCAGCCTTCCTGCAGTGGCAGCTAGTGCCTGGGTGAGACCCAGGATTCTAGAGCCCCAGCAGCCCCACAGGAAGAACCCCAGCATCATGGCTTGTTCCTGCAGTGGTAACCAAATGCCCATGCTACCAGGCCTCTTCCTGCAGTGCTGCTGGAGGTTTAAGCAACACGGCTCTTGCCCAAGCACTTGGCTGCCACCAAATAGACAAGCCATGGTGTCAGACTTCTTGCAGTGCTGCTGAAGTGCCAATGCTGCAGCTCTTGTCCAGGTGCTTGGCTGTTGCCACAGAAAGACCCTGGTGATGCTGGAGCTCCATTGCCATGGCTCTCGCCAGCTTGGCTGCTGAACTCCCAGGAGAGAAGGGAGCTGCTGGAGGGGGAAGAAGCCCCTCACCATGGCTTGTTCCTGTGGCTGCAGCCAAGCACCGAGGATGCCGGGCCTCTTCTCGATGGGTCCCAGACCAGCTACAGTGGGTACCACATCTACCGGATCTGGCATGGGGGAAGTGGGGAGTATCTGTGGGCCTGATCCAGCCTGTGGTGCTGGTCCCATACCATTAATCTGGCCTCTGAACTAGTCCTGCACCACAGTTCTGGCTCAGAGGGCCAGATGAGTTTGACACCCCTGCTTTAAATAAACCTGAGTAACAGTAAATACTAACTAACAATCAGGGATCCTGGTTTTCCCTGATAAAAAAACAAACAAACAAATTCTCTGCTAAAAAATCACAAATTATTTGCTCCAAAACCCAAAATCCATGATTAAAATTAAAGGCACCCCCCACAACCCCCCTGGCCCTGTTAGTGCCCTTCACTCCCCACCCACAGCCCCTGTTCCCCCAACCCTGCTGGAGGAGGCCCCAAGCTGCCAGGGCTATAGACCTGGGTCTGCAGCCCTTTGCCCCCACTCCCCCCTGCTGTGGATTTGGGCAGGGCAACTCCCCGTTGCTGCATGTGCTCCCAGGGGGCAAGGAGGACCCATGCCCTGCAGATCTGTACCCGGGGCAGGCACAGGCTGAGACTGCTGCCCAGCCAGGTGGGGCTTGGGGCCCAGGGTTGCAATATGCAGCTACAGGGCCCCAGCAGGGAGCAGGAGGGGTTCACGGGTAGCTCATCCAGGGGAAAGGAAGGGCCAACTCCCCGCTGCCATGCGTACTCCCGGGGGGCAGGTGGGACCCGCGCCCCCCAGATCTGTACCTGGGGCAAGTGCAGGCTGCAGGCTCGAGCTTCTGCCCTGCTTCCCTCCCCTAGGGCCTCCCCAGCCCAGCAGGTGTCACCCAACATGGCTGGGGACAGCAGGGCCACACGGGGATTCCTTGCCGCTGCTCATTGCAAAATAGCAAAATCCATGGGTTTCTTTAGTAAAATGAGAAATCCAAGTTTGCCTTTGGTAAAAGGCAAAATCCACAGTTTACTCTCTTTTTCCATGGGAAATTGCAAACCCAGAACCCTGCTAATAATACATTTCTTTGCTATTTGTAAGAGTATCCAATGTAATGCTCAGTGTGCTGTGCTGTGCTTTTTCTTCCCCTCAAAAAAGCTAATACCTGAAATAAGTTTCTATGAATTGACTCACCATTTGTGTGAAATGCAAGTTTTTAAGGTAGTTAATGAGCATTTTATTTTTTTTTTTTTTAAATTGAAGTGACCTAGGAAAAACAGGGAAATTCTCTAACAATAAAAATAAAAAAAAATAAAAATCTAAAATAGTATTTCCAGAATAAAACTACCATAATTTTAAAGTGTAATTCATATATTTTAACTGGATCCTTTGGAATGTTTCCCTTTTCCAAAATGTTCCAGTATTTCTAGTTTTAGACTTGCAGGGTCATAAGATTATATATAACCTTAGATTTGTCAGTGGCCCAAGGCCAAATATTGTCTACCTTGAGACTCGGGGGATTTTGCATTTTAGAGCAAAGACAGAAAAAATCATGTCAGAATACTGTTTTTTTAAAAATGCTGCTGTTTTCAGCCACTTACAATTATGAAATGTTGGAACTCTTCCCTGAGGGAGACAGACTAGTGAGCAAAGCCTGAGGGATGTTGTCAGAGATGTATAGTGAATTAATTTGAACCAGGGTTCCCCAAAGTCACGTGGATAATATCGTAAGATATTATATATAAGAATGTTAGAGCATACCACTGGATATTCAACTGAATCAGTGCACATTTATTCATATTCTATAAATGTCATAATTAATCAGTTGTAGCTTCTTGGTACTTAACACTTAAGTATCAGGCAACTTCTTTAGATACATTCTTAAAGTCTGCATAGGTAACTTGAGGCAGCTCATTTTAGAAAAATGTGGTCACCTAAAAATGCATCTAAATTCACACAGTAAAAGTGGTAGAAAAGTAAGTATATCAGACATTAACTATTATATATACATTTGTCAAAACACCGTGTGGTATCTAGGAATAGTATAAATTATGCTAAGTTTTAATTTTATATAGCCAACTTTTTATTTTTGCCAGTGAAAAATTAAGATGTATTTGAACAGTGGACAGCATATTCTTCTCCTTTTATTTTGAAGCATAAACAAAAACTCACTTTGATTTTAGTAGAGGGATACCTCTTGTATCCTTATTATATTCAGGAGACATCGAATTTGACATCTGTCATTAGGCAGAAGATGGAGTTGCATGTCCTTTTTGGTATATAGAATTGCAAAACATCAGGTTCTCCTTGGAATAATCATCCACATATACAGTTGCCTTATTTCTGGCTTATGGGTGTTTTTAATCTGACCCCTTAATTGGAGACTTTTACCCCTAGCACAAGGGTGGGGAATTCTTTTGGCTGGTGGGTCACTTTAGGAATTTTGTGCTGTTGCAGTCTGGGGAGGTGCTGAACTGGGGTTGTGTGGGTGGGGAGGCATTTGATCCTATCTGGCCCTGGGCTTGTCTGCTCAGGACCTATCCCAGGGGGGTGGTAGATGGAGTGGGTGGATGGGCAGTCTCCATGGAGACCAGCCAGGACCGCTGCAGGCAGGGCATGCTCGGCCAGGTGGATGGGATGGGGCCACAGGCAGGTGGGGAGCAGCATCTGGGAGCGGGACGGGTGGGCAGAGGCCAGGTCTGGGATCGTGTGGCGGTGACAGTGTGCAGCTGGGGGCCAGGGCTCAGGACAGAGTTGTGATCCACTCCCCATATGTTCCTGTGACAGATATTGTTCCACAGACAGGGGCATATGGAGAGCAGATCATGGCTGTGCCCCAGGCCCTGGCCCCACAAGGTTGCAGCCCTGTGGTCCTGGACCTGGCCCCTGCCCACCCGTCCTACTTCCAAACACCACTCCCTGCCCACCCGATCTGCCTGACTGAGCATGCTATGCCTGCAGCGGTCCTGGGGCAGTCTCCATGGAGACCCTGCCTACCCACACTTCCTCCCTATCTAGCACCCATGGCTGTGGTGCCCGGACAGCGGGGCCAGGTCTGGCAGCAGTGGAGATGCTAGTGGTTGCGGCCAGAAGGAGCTGCCGTTGTAGGGGCTGCCAGGAAGTGGAGTCCAACCAACGCCACATCCCTGCCACACGCCTGGGGGTGGCCGGCCCAGCCACATACACCATGACCTGGGCTGCCCCCCATGCCTGGGCTAGACAGAGCCCAGGGACCCACCATGGGCCAGATAAAATCCTTTAGTGGGCCAGATCCAGCCTGCAGGCTATATTTTGTCCACCCCTGCCCCAGTAGTAGCCACAAGATATATTCTGGTCCTGTCTTCCCTCATGCCCTTTGCCCAGGGAAGTGCATAATTCTATTCCTCTCAGCCTCTGAACACATTTGAGATTCTGAGCAGCTGAGGCCTACCAGATAAACGAGACGTCCAACTTTTTAGAGACCTTCTCTAAAATCATAGGTTTTTTTCTTTATTCCGTTTTTATTCCACTTAGCCATCTGAGAGAGAAAAGCTGAAATTTTTCCTCAAGCTTGCAAACTCTGATCTGTCAGCTGTCACATCTGCAAATAATACTAACAGTGCCACTAGGTCCTGCCATTTTAGAGTCTTTGTCCTTGTTTGGATCCCTGTCCTTCCTTTTGGAGCCTGAGAAGGTAGCAAGAATAACTTGCTCTTACATCTTTGCTTTGGATTTCTCAGCACTGTCTGGGATTGTATCCATATCCCTTGTTCAGTGCCCTGATTCTTGTTTGGTCATCACGTGATAGATGTCTTTTTTTGCCTTAGAGAGACTCGTATGTCTCAGCTTATGTTCAGTATGTGGGACTTTCAAATACAGAACTGCAGGTACCATGAGGAAAAGCTGAAACTCCTAGAAGGCTTGCTTAATCTCGCCTCAGATTCAGGGTCAAGATCCTCTGTGCAACACTGGATGTCTGATAACAGATCTTCACACCAGCTCATGTTATCTTCAGTGCTGTTGAAGTCAATATTGAACAGGTCCCCTCACCCTCAGAGGGAGATCATCAATCAGAAGTAAGTCTGGAAAGTCATTAACCTCAGATCTATCACTCCTCCACCAATGACAGACAGCCTTTGCTAGTAGCATTCCAGAGAAAGCAAGGAAGGTTTTGAGACCATGTGTCTCATAAATGTGACACTTGAGGCTCCAGAAGACCTAGTTGAACTGACTGTAGCACTAGTGACTGCCACAGGGAGTCGGTGGCTCCACAGGCTTACTACAGACCTCATAGATATTAGCTTCATGTGCTAGATGCATAGGGCCAGATCCATGCAAGGATGCAGAAGAACAGAGCTGACAAGTCCCGATCTACCATAAATTAGAAGAAGGTCTCTTCCATTCTCCTTATACTCTTGAATGTGCACCTGATCTTCCTTCTGGACTTGAAGCTTCCCTGGATACGCCTCTTAAGGCTTCCACTTATGGGATCCTTTCCTTCTCTCCTTCTTGGTGTTCACTGTCCTTGATTTCAAGAGACTGCACATTTGTTATGGCATTGGGCCTTTTAGCCCCCTCTCGTTCTCAGGTAAAAAGCAATGGTCCACCATTGTTGAACAGTCTCCTGGAATATTTTTGCACAGCTTCCATCAGTGCTAACAAGAAAAGAAAGAAAATCTACCTCATCAAAGCATGAGGGTCCTTGGTCCTTGCAGTGCTAACAGAGTCACTGGTTTATCTGATGAGAACATGTTTCTTTCTATACCTTATTCTTGTTGGTAGCCATCCTGGTGGTGCTCACTTTGGCAAGAAGGTGGAGGATATCCAGGTGTTTATGGTGAATCTTTTATCTACCACACTTTACCCTGATAAGGTATCCTTGGGACTCACCTGAAATGTCTGTCTAAAAATGTTCTTAGACAGAAAGGTGGTTATGAGTTTTTCTCTGGAGCAACAAATTAATTTGTAAGTCTTCCTTCTGAAGCCTCACATCTCCCCAGTTGAGGTCTTACTCCATTCTAGGTGTTAGATGAGCTCTAGCAGGCTATTTTGAATAGGACAAAAAATTCTTACACTTTTCTATGGCCGTTTGTCTTTCTAGTTGAGAGGTCTAAAGGCAAAGTGATTTCAAATCAGAAAGTGTTTAACTGGATTTTTGGCTGTGTCAATCTATACTGTGAAACTCAAGGAAGAACCATCATTTGTGGTATGGACCTATTTTATCAGAACCAAGGCTACTTCCACGGCCTCCCTATACAGCATTCAGGCCCACCAATGGCATTTGTGGGGCTGCTATCTGGAGCCCAGTACGTACCTTTTACCAAGCACCAGACTGTCACAGGAGCCTCCAGGACTTGTTCTGTATTTGGTAAGGTGATCCTACAGTTGCTGTTCACTTAAAGAATTTTGAGGCCTGTCTTTCCATATTATCTTGGCATTGCTTTGGAGTCATCCACAAGTGAGAATAGGTATATGGACAATTATTCAAAGAAGAAAAGAAGTTACTTTACTTTACTTTAACTGGAGTTCTTTGAGAAGTGTTGTCCATATATGTATTTGAATCCTGCTTTTCTTCCCTCCTTCAGTCAAATGCAATAGAGGATCTGTGGGAAGCATTCACGTCTCTCTATCCCTTTGTTGTAGGGTTAAAGCATACCCAGTATGTCCTAGAAGGACAAGAACTCTTTAATTGAGGGTTCAGGGCATGAGAGGCATCCGCAAGTAAGAATATGCTTGTGGGCAGTGCATTATCAGTAACTATTCTAAAAAAGAAAATAATAAAATATCCATTGATTTGAAGTGTTAGAAGAGGTGATTCTTCTGTTAGTCTGTCTTCACCCTTCCCTGTTCTAGTATGTATGTATGTATGTAGGTGGGTGGATAGACAGAAGGAAAGAATAGTTTTGCAGCCCAAGAACTGATCTCTCACAAGCATTTTTGTTGTTTCTGTGCAGAATTGGAAACCTGAATAACAGATGTCTGTTCTTGGACAGCTGATTCCTTCTTTTGGTAGGAAGTGGTTGTTGAACTTTGACAGCTGTGCTGTTAGAAAGCAAATACTGTTCTTCATTTTGTCTTTTATGATATCCCATCCTGCTACGTTATAATATAAAAATAGAAAGAATGGTGCAGTTCAGAAGAAGGATTCAAAATCCTGTCTCACTAAATTCTTAAATTTTACTAATTGTTGCCTTAACCAGTAGTTGGGCAAGCAGCCTTTTGAAGCTCTTGGTTCTGCAATGTGATTAATTGATTTTTTTATTATTATTATTTTAGTTTGGGACTATACAACAGGGAGAGTGGGAGCACCTTTGGTTTGCTGTGAAATTAAGCTGTTGAACTGGGAAGAAGGTAAGAAGACTGTTTATATAATGCAACTTTGGTGTGTGCAAGAACTTTAGTTAGTATTTATTTATTGGGCTGTATAGTGTCACTCCGTGCTCTGCATTGTAAATTAAAATTATGCCCTGTACTTTTAACTGGCATTGGAACTGGGCATTTCAGGACTAGGGAGCTGCAACTGGTTCTTTGATGGTCTGATGATAATCCCATAATATGTATTCATCAGGAAGTCTTTAGAATTACACACTAATTTTAAAAGCTGGCTATAGAAAATTATTACTGTCTGCTTCAAGAGGTGGATAGTATAACAAAATCAGGGAATTGGGATGACCGTTTTGTTGTCTTTTCAAAGTGAAAGAATCCCAATAATGAGTTTAAATAATACTAGTTTGCTGGATGAATGTGTTGGAGGCAGGCCATTTGGAAGGTCCATTGGAGCCTCAAAGCTAGAGAATAGCCCACAAGGTCTGCTGGCAGGAAACCATGCAGAGTTCTGTTGGAGCCTTGCCTGTGTTTCACTGGAAGTTGGTTAAAACAAATAGTGAAACATTTTGGATTCAATGAATTGGCATTTTCCAATGAAACAAAATAAAACATTGTCAGTGGATTCTAGAGGTGCACTGATGCATCGGTCTGATATTGGATCGGTACCAATATAAAGAAAACTGGCTGTATCAAATATCGGTCCGATGGGGCCGATAATTTGTCTGATAAATGCCCGTGCTGTGCACAGCTGCAACACAGCACTTGGGCAGCGAGGAGCAGAGCCGGCAATATGGAGAACTGCATCCAGATGTTAAGTCCGGTGTGGTGAAAGGGGAGGGAAGGGGGGTGTGGGAGGGGGCAGATCAATGTCCCCCGCAGTGAGGGAGGGGGAAGTAGCAGCAGGAGCTGCCTCCCCTCCCCGTCCCCCACAAGCTGTGGCTCCAGCCTCCCCGCCCCACCTTGACAACACCTGCCTCTGCCCCCTTCCTTACTGCAGGGGCTGTTGATCTTCCACCCCACGCCCCTTCCTTCCCCCCTCCTCTTTCACCACACCAGACTTACCAGCTGGAGGCAGCTGTATCAGAAATCGGATCAGTATCGGCCAGTATGCCTCCTTTAAGATCAGCTATTGGTATCGGCCCCAAAAATCTCTATTGGTGCGCCCCTAGTGGATTCCTATACAATCACCTGCTTTTCCCTTCCCCACATCCCTCAAAAATCAGGACAAATTAAATTTTTAACATTTTAAGTTACAGCTGTTGGGATCAAGGATTTGGCCCAACATACCACATAAAGTGTGAATCCAAAACTGCGGTTCATATCTGGCCATTAAAAAGGGACTATCTTTATTTAAACCTGTGAACAGTTTCTTTTGAACTAAAATATGCTTTGATATGTATTAACATGGAATTGTAGGTTGAAGAGAATACGCTGAGCCTTGGGCAACACTGTTTTTTGGTACGGAGGGTGCTTTTATATTTTAGTATTTTTAGAGTATTTAAACATTCGGGTCCTTTCTTGGTGATTTGAGTCTCCTGTGAGATTTTTCTAAGGGCACTAACAGTTCAAGAACTGTCTGTAGTTAATGACTTGTATTTAGGGAGAAAAACGGTGTTACTAAATTTAACCTGAAAATGTATGTTGTGGGTGGGGAGGGGAAAGATTGAGCTGTGTGCAGGGTTTACTACTTGTATGCTTGTAGTATAAATACTTACAGCATTGATTATCAATATAACTATGATATTTTAAACAGCTCTCATTGTAGCTTTATGTTACTATGTCATGTATGTAGACATTAACTTGCATATGCACATACCCATCTTCTCATCTATTTTAAGGTAACCAAACTGGAAGCAGAGACAGGATTCTATGTCTGCTACCTTAAGAGTATTGTAGTCATTGGCTGTCAACGTACATTGCATGCACAGTCTCTTCATCTTCTTCTCCTTGTCAGGAAATATTGCAGTGAACTTCATATTAATGTAGTAGGAATTTTGTAAAAAAGGCCAGTAGAATGGAAATGGATTGTAACGGGCTGAATCAAATAAGTTGAATTAGACTTCAGAAGTATTCAGCTTTCTTTTGATCATCTTTGTAGCCTTTTCTAATTTGGATGGTGGACCTGTTTCACTAGTTTGGAGTATTAGCTACTACTACTAGGACTAATCAGAGATTTATGCATTACTAAATCCCTTGAAATGGTATTTATGTGATGCATAGACAGTGAGTTGGTCCTCCACTTACCTCTGAATTTCTCCCATTAATGAACTGTTTTCACACCTCTGTCTAAACTGAACGCTGCAAGTGGTTTGATCCACTTTTGCTCCAGTTAAACTGTTTTGAAACTTGTTTCAAATGGTATACCAAAAGATTATTTTCTAATTAGATTTTATATAGCAGATCTTTAATTTGGGTAAATAAATTATATATATTTATTGAAATGATTCTATATATAGTACACATCTGGACAACATTTTAATACAACGATATATTCTTCCTTTGGAACAACTTTATTGCCCAGTTTTTTTAACTTCATTTTCTTAAGTTAACATCATGTTTAAAAAAATAATGGCCTGTATTTTTAGGTGGATATTACAATACTGATAAACCATATCCTAGAGGTGAAATTCTTATTGGAGGCCAAAATGTGACTATGGGCTACTACAAAAATGATGCAAGAACCAAAAAAGATTTCTTTGTGGATGAGGATGGGCAGAGGTGGCTCCATACAGGAGACATTGGAGAGTTTCATGCAGATGGCTGTCTAAAAATCATTGGTGAGTTATTGGAGAATGTGTTTAATTACTTCAAAATTAACAGATTAGGTAAACACATAGTTAAAGAAAATATTTTGTAGTGTTTTTGTTAACCACATGCTCAAGTAATGGAGAAATTGGTGCAGGGTTTGAGTCCAAATTTGCATGTATCAAAGGAATATGATAATTTCTCAACCACAGCAAACTTAATTTGAAATGTGAAAGTTTAACACGGAGTACTTTCTTTCATTCTCTTGGGGCGCATCTACATGAGATGCTTAATGCACAGTAGCCTAATAACGCTGCACAGTAACATGCCAGGCAAAAACTGTGCTAATATGCTACTGCGCAGTAGTATTAGGCTACTGCACAGTAAGTGTCACTGAAAAACTGCGCCAGCACTACTGCATAGTAACGGTAGATGCTGCACATTTAGCTAGTATTTTATTAAGCAAGTACCAAATTTAAATACACAGTAACTACAGCACATTAATAAACAAGTTGACGCACCCTTAGAATCTTAATAGTGATTTAGCTGTGGAAGTCAAAAGTGGCTGCTCCAGGAGAAAAATAACCCAGAAACAATCAAAGTTAAATCTCTCCTGGGACGGTTTCCCCTGGGAGAGCCAATGTCTGTACATGTTCTTTTTTGAGAGAAACCACAGCACAATCCTTCAGCATCCCAGAGTGCTTTGTTTCTCTCTTCCCAGGGAGACAGTCTGTCACTCACTGGACCATTGCCCCAGCCAAGCAGGGAGTAGAACACACCCTTTTCACAATCCACACATTACACCATTAGGGTGAGGCATGCTGACCCTGCGTCAGCCAATTAGGGCTGCTCTGTGTGCTGCTGTGAGTCTGTCTCCAGGCAGACTGAGGGAACCTGCAAAGCAGCCTGAGATGTATGCACAGAGGCCTTCTGACTGTGCAATGTCAGCATTGCAGACTCTGTGCACTTCGGGGCTCAGCATTTGAATGTATGTTCAGGCATCTCCAGGTAAATTTTTCTACCAGGAAAACCAACCCATGAGAATTGTTCTAGATCATTTGAACGTGTATATGTAGCCTGTGTGTATTTAGCAGTATGCTTTCAGTAAATATAAAGTATGTTTCTTTGTCTTTCTGCTATTTTGATTTTAGTAAAGACACCAGAAGAGGCATATAGTCGGATCAAAATTTTAAAAATAGGTGCTTTTAAGTTGGGTTCCTAAATCCATATTCAAGCATCTAAATAAACAGCCTAGGTTTATAAAGTATACATCACCTACACTGTTGTTAGTTGGCAGTTCAGGGTATTGATTAATCTTGGAGATACTGTGGTAGCAATTTAAGAATAAAATGAAGATGACTGATATAGAGAGACTTTTTGTTAGGTTTATTTTATGGGCCATATTCTAAGCTCAGTTTAGACCAATGCAAAGTAGTCATCAGGATAATACCTAGCAAGAAAGTTGGCTAGCTTGGCTTCCCAAGAGAATGATCAGTGAAGGGGGCATCCCTAGGCTGTCTTGGTAAACCCTTGGGAGTTATTGCCCATGGGCAGTTGGAGTTAAAATCTAAATTGCAAAAATAAATAAAATGGCACAAAAAGCTGTGTATGTATATAAACCAGCCAACTTGAAACTTGTAAATTTCAACACAGGGCTGCTTTTCTCAGTTATGTTTTGTCACAGTATTCATTGTAGTTATCTTTCTGACCAAAAGATCTCCTTAAATGAAAAGTATAGTAGATGAACACACATTACAAGGGGCAAAGGCTTTGTGCAATTAAATATGGACCATGTTTGGTAAAAGGGAAATCCGTTAAGCTGGCAGATTTGGCATGGCACAGATCAGGAATGTGACATAAATTTATCTGGTGTATGTCTTCTTGTTTTAAAAACCAAACATAATTATATCCTTTGTATGCGTCTGTCAAAATCACAGAATAGAATCAAGCCAGTAATGTTTCATTTTGTAAATAACATTTAATGTTTACCTTCATCAATAGATCGTAAAAAAGATCTTGTAAAACTCCAGGCTGGAGAATATGTCTCTCTTGGCAAAGTTGAAGCTGCTTTGAAGAACCTTCCACTGGTAGATAATATTTGTGCATATGCAAGCAGGTAAGACAGTTAGGATTTCTATGTCTTTGTATCTTAGTTCTCTGATATTCGGGGTATAGTGGTTGCCTACATTTCTGTTAACATAAAGGTTTTTTACTATTTGAAAAGAGTTTTATATATGTGGTCATGGAATATTTTAACATTGCAGAAAGTTTTGAAGTGTGCCTGTGGTATGTGTGCTATATTTATACTTCATGTGTTAATATTTGAGCAGCTCTGTATTATCTCAACAAACATTTGTAGATTTTCTAAATCAAAAGATTCCAAGTAAAAACTTTTTTTTTTAATGTGTCAGGTTTTATGTTAAAAATTAAACTGCCTAAAAATGTTCTTGTTTTCACCCTCTTCTCTTTGTTCCCTTAAGCTACTGAATGATGTATTTTTTTTCCCCCAAGTTTATTCATACAAGTCAGAGGTGGGCAATTCTTTGGGCCCTGGGGGCCACATAGGAAGTTTTGAATACTTGTTGCAGGCAGGGTCAGCACCCCCCTCCTACCCTCCGTCGCAACAATTCACCAAAACTCCCTATTGGGGATGGGGCTACGGGTGGGCGGGGAGGAGTGTTTGGGAGCGAGATGGGCAGGTGAGGCCAGAATCATGGGGCACCCCTGCCCTGTCTCGGGGGTGAGGAGTGGGGTTCGTTGTGTGTGGGCGGGGGGTGCTGCCTGAGTGTTCAGTCCCAGGAGCCAGCCAGTGGTGAGAGGAGAAAGAAGGAGAGAGTAGGGGAGGTGCATGCATTAGAAGTCACCCAGGTGGTGCAGTCCGTGGTTGCCCCCATATCTGCTCTGCATGGGGCTGATCTCCAGCATACCCAGCTTCTGGCAGGCTGTTCCTGGTGCAGCTGCTGTTTGGCTCCCCTTGACTCCAGCCATGGTTCCTTCTGGCGCTGTTCCAGACCGGGAGAAAGCTTCAGCTGAGCAGCTCCTGCCCCAGCACACAGGACTTTGGCCGAGCTCTCGACTGTCTTCCACCCACTTCACCCAGCTGGTGCAGGCTGCTGAGCGGGTAAAAGGCAGCCAGGAACTGGAGCTTGTGCCCCATGTGCTGGGGCAGGAGTTGCCCAGGTGACGTTCCTGGCTGTCTTCCACCCACATGGACACCCACGCTGGGCGGGCGGAATGGGTGGAAGGCAGCCCGGAGTTGGAGCTGGAGCCCCACATGCTGGGGCAGGAGCTGCCTGGCTGAAGCTTCCTCCCAGCCTGAAGCAGCACCGCCATCGCAGGAAGAGGAGCTTCCGCTGGAGGTGAAGGGAGCTGAGCAGAAGTCACACTGGGAGCAGCCCTGCTGAAAGCTGTGCGCGTTGGCCAGGGCTGGGCCAGTGGGCGTTGGCTGGAGCACAGCACGGGCTGCCCTGCGTGGGGTTCGGCTCCATGCAGAGTGCTGCAGAAGCAGCTGTGGGCTGGATCCAGTCAATTTGTGGGTGTCCCCGTGCAGGCCAAATCCAATCAGTTGGCAGGGCAGATCCAGCCCATGTGCCATATTTTTCCCACCCTAATGTAAGTTCTCAAAACTTTCAAAAAGATTGATAGTAGAAGGAAACAAGGTGCATTGTGGATAATTCAAGACATCCATCATTTAATTGTACATTGTGAAAGAAAAGAATGAAAAAAGAAGAGAGGGTCAAGAGAGGGGAAAATTAAAAAACTTGTAAAAGATTTAAATAAAATGAAAAACTGATCCATTGCAAAGTCTGTCATGGAAGCAATTTTTGATATTTCACAGTTTTTCAGTAACTATTTTAATATATTTTTAATCCTACAAGTTCAAAGTGTTGAATGTAATACTTTAGATGTGCTGTAACTGTACAAAATGTAAGGTATGTTGGGATCATTAATCTGCTAGATTGATTAAAGCATTTCTACACATCTGATACTAAGTAATGCATGAATAGTCAAGTGGGAACATTGACCATAACCATTGTGATGTTCTGTTTTTCAGTTTCCATTCTTATGTCATTGTATTTGTTGTGCCAAATCAAAAGGAGCTTATAGAATTAGCGCGAAAAAAAGGATTTAAAGGAACCTGGGAAGAGATCTGTAACAGTCGTGAAGTAGAAAAAGAGGTCCTGAAAGTGCTAGCTGAGGCTGCTAGGGCAGGTGAGTAGTTAAGTAGTTCGTATTTGCCTGATGGAGCATTTGAATTTGAAACAAAATACACATCAGTTTGAAAAAGATGTTTCATTTTGTACAGTTTGTTCATAAAACAGAATTTTCTATAATGAATCACTCCCCTTGATATGTAGGCTGTGCTGACAGCACATGGGAGCAGAATGGATGAGGCAGGGTACCTCTCTCCCATTCTCCAAACTGGATGTCCCCAGTCTGGGGAAGGTGTGGGGAGGGTTTTCTTGATGCTCTACTCGCTCTGGGGACTGGAAGGGGTGAAGCAGCCACTTCTCCCTAAGTCTTGTCAGACCAGAATCACCCTGGCTTCATGAAGGTATGGGGAGAGGGAGGAGCTGCAGGCTGCTGAACATCTGTACATGCTCCCCATCTCCCAGAAACATTTATAGAACTTAATGCCTATTCATGGCCACTGTAACAAACTTCTCTCCCTTTGATATGAGGTTGCTGACATTTACACAAGCAGTATGTGGGTGGTGCTCTGCTGGTGTCGATAGGTATTATAGAAAGGGAAGATGCCACAGTAATCAATGTGTTCTTGAGCTTTCTATATATAGAAAGGAGAGCAGAAAATCTGGTGCATGGGTACTGGCCCTTGTCTTTATCACTGTCAGAGTGTAAGTGTCAGAACATGGGAATGGCTGTTCATTTTGAGTGAGCCATCCTGATCTCTGCATGTATGTATGTGAAGGAGAAGCATTACAGGCCTAGCACATGGGGCATATTTTCAACAAGCTGTATGAATGGGGAGTATAAGCGCTCACAAATTCCATGGCTTAACTGGTAGACAGTGCTGAAGTTTCCTAGGCAAACTTCAGAACATTTAAGGAGTATTTCACTATGAGTTTTTCCATGGGAGAGTACAGTCCCTGCCTTTCCATCTTTATTTCAGTTACCAAAACCCCCAAAGCATGATAAGCATTTGAAAATCTCTTTTTATTTGTCATTTTTTATCACTGCAGCTAACCTGGAGAAATTTGAAATACCAGTAAAAATTCGTTTGAGCCCTGATCCTTGGACCCCTGAGACTGGTCTGGTGACAGATGCCTTCAAACTAAAACGCAAAGAGCTTACAGTACACTACCAAGCAGACATTGACCGAATGTATGAGAAACGTGTAAACTAACTCATCTTTTCCAGTACAGCTTTGCGACAGTGAGCTTGGATCAAATAGGAAATACTTGAATCACTGGTCTCAACACCTTGAGACCAACACACACAAACACCCTTCCTCATCTGCAGCTTAAACTGTTACGTCTGATAGCATCACAAGATTTGATGGCAGGATTAGTAAAATGTTAAGGCAGCAAACTTGTGTCTGTCTCTCTCTTTGCCCATTTTTTCTGCTACCTTGTAAGTGTGTGGGTTTTCCTGAATCCTTTTGGGGAAACCATGCTTTTTGAAGCCTCAAGTTTTTAAACATGATTTATATATCCTGTATAATGTTTTGTTTGTAACTTTTTAAAGTTTGGATGTATAGAAAGATAACTTGGCTGTATAAGAAACGGTTATTCTGGGGGCCTTTTTTACATAAGTATTTAAATATACAAAGTTATTGATGTCGTGAAATTATGTAAATTGGAAATGCATATGAATCAAATTGTCATTGGACAGAGGCTAGATTATTTGTTAATGTGCAATTGTTTTGTATAAATTTCGGAAGAAAAAAAAAGTTTGACATTCTGACTTGTGAAATACACTTGATGTATGTGCCTGGCGGTTTCTTTTTAAATTATTTTATTATTACCTGAAATGCACAGCACTGTATAAAGATAGCCACTCCTGCAGGATATTGCTGTTTTAGGCTTTAGTAATGCAAAATATGCTGTTTAACACAGCAAAAAGCTACTTCTGTGAATAACCTGTCTAATAGGAACTTTTAAACTATTTTCAGGCCATTTTGTACAGAAGTTATATTGTTTAAAGCTAGCAAGTTCTGTAAAATGTTAAGTCAAATGAATTGAGTTAGACAATATCCTTTTAGAAAGGAGAATTTAAGAAAAATTGCATCTTGTCCTTCAGCCTTACACACACGATTCAGGTTTCCTGTTTTGTCACTTGTGAAAAATTGTTAATAGTCAGGTTCAATCCAGCTGCAAGCCCATATTTGTGTAGTGGGGTGGAGACATTTTTAAAAGCCCAAATGGCAGTGTGGTTCCCAACTCCTACTGGTTGCCTAACCATTGAAAATCCCCCCGTCAATTAATAATGCTATGTTGTTTTGCTTACCTTTTGCTTTGAAGGTAGATGTGTGTGGAGTATGTTGTCAGTAATAATCCTATTTATTTTACTTGGTTGATGGTTTAATTGTTGCAGCCGAATTCTTGATTTTTTTTTTTTTTTTTTTTTTAAGGATTCTCAGTTTTGAGATAGTCCCATGAAGTTTTTGTCTTGAGTTCTGGGTGCTATTTATGTCTCAAGTGACAGCCTCTAGACATGTTTCACATGTATTTTTTATTTTTTAATATATTTAGAAAGAACATTCTGGTCCTGATCATTGGGGGAATGTGGAAGGGTATCAATAAACTTTGGGATGGTTGCAGGTATTAAAAACGGGGGTTTTAATGCAGATTTCTCTTTCTTGTATGTTATATATAATAATAATAATAATGTAAAAAATGTAAGGTTTGATACTGATTTATTGTTGTTATATTAGAGGATATATGCTCCTCAGAATAATTATTGCATATGAAACCACCCATTGCTGGTGTTGGCATTTGTAAAACTTTACCTTGGGAATTCTTAGAAGATGATTCAAAACACAAACTTTGAACAATTTTATTCTGAAATGATATTTAAATTGACACTTCCTTTTGGTTAACCAGTGTGGTTTTATAAGAGTCCTGATTCACTGTGCTGGTGAAAGCTGAATGTATCGCATGTATCTTCTGTCAAGGAGTTAGCTCTGGGAGGTGGCTTTTTAAATAACACTTACTAGATCATGCTGAATTTGACCAGCTGCTGGCTCTGGAAAACTGTTTCAGTGAAGTTTACTGTAATTGGTCAGATTAATTTATCAGAATTGAAAAGAGGTTCAGAATAATACTTCTGTAAGAATGAGATGGCTAGATCATTGTTATCCAGTTCAGAATTTTCTCAAGAGTTGGATCATAAAATATAAATGATTGGCAGGTATCCAAAGGAAAATCTAAAGGTCTTTCCTAGTTGATTGAAGAGGTAGACTGTTAAGTTCATAAGAAAGTCTCACTACATTTTAGATACAGAAAAATGTTGGATTTGTGCTCCGGCATATGGCAGTGAGAAGCATAATGTTAACAAATAGAATTTGCACTCCAAAGGACAGAGGCTGTATGTTGTTCCAAGCTGTAAAAGTTGGGGGATTTTTTGTTAGTCTAGAAAGTCATGGTAGTAAAATTGCTAAAGTAAGTCCAGCATCTTAAGAACACTTTGTGCACTCTGCAGAACATACTAAAAATTCTGAATTTGGTTATTCCAGAAGGATTGTAAAAGATATTTGATACTGTTAAAAGGGCTGAAATTCACTTTTGGATGAAATGTGAAAATAAGCAGGTGTTTTAGCTTTAGTTTTCATTTTTCTTCCAGTTCAGCCATAAGGTTCAAATGCAGCCTAACTGTATACCATCTCCCCATCCTGTATAGCATATTTACTTGATTATAAGATGAGGTTTTTTACCCCTTTTAACATAAGGGGAAAAAGCCCCTTACCTTACAATCAAGCACAAGGCAGCGGGGGAAGGGACAGAGGAGCAGGCAGCTGCTGCAGCTCCAGCCCCACCCTGGGGTTAGAGCCAAGGCCAAAACTGCTTCCAGCCCATGCCCCACCACCTCAGCACACCCTGCCACTCCTTCACAACCCCCAGTCTCCCAGCTCTACCTCCTTGCCCCACGCTGCTTCTCCCTTTCTTTCTCCCTCTGCTGCACTCCTCCTTACCTTTGCTCCATACAGGCAGGCTACATCCCTGCTGCAGCTCCGCCAGCCCAGCCCCATAGCAGCCTTGCAGAGCTGGCACTGCTATTCCAGCCCAGCCCTGTTGCAGCAGTGCTGGATCCCCACTGCTGTTGCAACAAGGCCAAGCTGAGTCAGCAGTCCTGACTCTGTGTTGCTGCTATGGGGCTGGAGCCATGCTCTGTGCCATGGGCTGCGGTTGGGATGGAGCCTGCTGGCTCAGATCAAAGAGGGTAGGGAGGCAGGCAGGAGGGGGAGAGACTTCAGGGTGGGAAGATGGGAGGAAGTGGGGGTAGGGCCCTGAGGCTGCAGGTGGTCGAAGTGGCATGGAGAGTAGAGAAGGTGGGGGAGGGGGAATTAGGGCAACCTGAGACTGCAGGAGGGCGGGCAGGCACAATGGAGGATAAGTGCGGGGGGGGGGGGGGACAGGTAGCAGGGGGCAAGCTGCCTACCTGCCCTACCACAGGGCCCCCACTACTGCTTCCCCCTCTGCCTCCCATTACTGCCCCCATCATTGCCATTCCCTCCACCACCTGCAGTAGTTGAGGTGGGGGGGGCAGGACAAATTTAAGATGATCCTCCAATAATTTGCTTTCCTACATGGAAACTTAGAGTAAATTTATATATTTTCTGTTGTTAGAATCTAATTATGGGGGGGTCATCTTATATTCAGGGGTGTTTTATATGGTATTTGGTTTTAAATCCATTTCTCAGTTCTGAGGATATGGATGGACTTGACAATTGTGTTAATATCGCAGGGTACTGATAATAGCTCTTCCAGAGTACCTGTTACGCCTGTATGGTTCTATGGCAACAGCAGTGCAATAAAACCACTCCAACTTGAACCCTGCTTCATTCATGGTCAAAATTAAGTTAATTTAACTAGCCTGTTGCTGCAGAATCATGCAGATGTAATGGTTACATCTGGCTGTTGCATGCTCCCAAGCAGTAGCTCCCATGCCCTTTTAAAGCTTTTGAAATGTTTATCCATACCCTGATTTACTTAAAGTTGGTATAAATAAATTACTCTTGTTTCTTTGGTATAGAATTGGTTTAGAATAAATAGCATGTTTTATTTGCTCCATAGAATAGGAGTATAAACCAATAAAAATACATTTATTTTCCCATCTCAAAGACATGCAGCTGGACCTAGTAAACGTTTTGGTAAGTATTACAACCTTTCTAAAAAGGTGAGGAAGTAAATAGTTTGCTTTACCAGGTTGAACCCATTTGGTGTTATGAGTGCTTCATGAACCTCAGGAGGAGGCTCTGAAACAAAGATGGTGTGAAATGACCAGGGTCACAAAGGGAGTCTATGTAACAATTAAAACTAAAAATGCAGGAGTTACATATTTTTCCATATTAGTCCAGTGGGTTATGATGTAATTACAGAGTGTAATTAAAGTGCCCCAAGATGTTGTGGAAGCTCACAGTTTTAACTGGATTCAGGGATTTCACACATCCTTGGAGGAAAGGGTGCATCAGTAGCTACTGAGCTTGGCACTTAAAGGGTGCAGCCTCAGAATCACAACTCCTTACACCTTAAATGCTGGAGGTTGCAAGTGTGCGGGCCGGGCGCGAGCCGGGCCCTTTTTCGTGCTGCACGCGGGCTGTGGCCAGCAGCCCGGGCACGTGGGGTCGGAGAGGGCGCGCATCAAGCTAGAATTAGGCACAGATTCGTAGCGGTAGATTTAAAGATTGTTTACTTACACCGAAGATGGTCGCGGTGCAGGCAGGAAAACTTGCTTGAGTTACAGTTGCAGATAGAAAAGATAAGAGGTGGACTAGGGTTCCGTCCCATGAACACTCTTCTAGCCCGTGCGGTTGGAGGCTCTAAACCGCGAACCCGTCGTGCCAACTGAAGAAAGTGCTCGTCCGAAAGAGCTCTGAATAGACTCTCACGAAGTTTGCTAGGCTCCGTGGAACTTGTGCTCTGAGGTAGTCCGGTCATCTGACCAACTATGTCAGTTGTTCCAGCTGGACTCACACGAAGTTTGCTAGGCTCCGTGGGTCCGGTTCTTTTGCGCGCAGGAAGGGATACGTCTAGGAATCTATCGGCGACAGGGAGAGGCTAGAGGCTGATCAGACCTCTGTTGCCTGGTTGAAATGCGCTGGGTCCGTAAGGATCCGCAGCGCTTAGAGATCTTCACACAGCGTGAAGTCTCCTCCTCCTGGTGTTCGTGGAGTCCTCCAACTTGGGCGGAAACCACTCAAGCCTTTTATATGGCTAGCAAGCCAATTACTAGCCGCCACGTGTGAATAATTTAGAACTGGCCAATAATGGGGCTCGAATTAGCATACAAATGGCGGGAACTCTTTGCAACGAGCATTTCTGTGCTGCAACAAAGAAATGCACACTGCAAAGAAAGCTTCAAATTGGCGGGAAATTCTCCCTTGCACCGGGGTTCTCTTTTGCAGCAGAAAACTCCACCGTGCAAAGAAGCTATAATTTAGCGGGAACAATTTAGCAGTGCCGAAGCACACAAAAACAAAAATCACACCCTTTGAGCAGAGAGAAACAGTGGAAGAAACTTGCTCTATCCTGTTCACTCTCCTTTTCCATGTTCAGTCTGCTGCTGTGTGACACAGGCTACTGGGCAAGATAAAACTATGGTCTGACCCAGTAAATGGCAGTTCTCATGTTCTTATGATGTCTCAGATGACTGACCTGTCTGTCCCCTCATCTCCCACCTCGTGTGATGCATAGGCTGCTCAGCAGAAAAACAACTAGCAGGTGGCGTATGGAAACCTTGGTGCTATGAGCTGGTCTGGGGCCCTTGTTTGTCCTCTCGTCCTCCATAACTTAAAAAAAATCAGTATTCTAATTGAAAGGATTCCCCATGTTGCAGCAAACTTTTATGTAACATTATTCATGGATTGCAAAGAACCGATGATGTTAAGAAATCTTGGTCATAGACTTTCCACAGTAGGAGCAGTTCATATTTTCAGCAGTGAAAAGGACTATGAACTTTTCAAAATAAAGGTTGAGTTTAGCCTTCATGCTTTGTAGGTTCTCAAAATAAGAATGGGGAAGGGTAATAATGCAGCTGAGAGGCTGCTGAGACCCTAACTTTTTTCTGAGGAAAAAAGATCTTGTAAATTGAAGATTTTCTGTAATTCTGAATCAAAAAAGGGATAGTAAGAATCATTAGCTACTTAATCCCATGTGAAAATGTACATAGTTATGACAGTTGCATTGTATTATAAAAGTGATTGAGTGGCTTAAGCACAGCCAGGAGTGGAAAATAAACACTTGGAGGAATCTCCTGGTGTCTTTTTGATTTAAGTATTATTTTAGAAATTCTTCCAGACTTCATCCTAACCCTTCAAGCTGGATGTCAGAAGTGTTCCGTATTGCATATAAACAAAACTTCTTTTTCTGGGAATGGTTGGGAAATTAAAGATTGGATGTCAGAAGTGACCTTGCAAGTTTGCTGCTGCTAATGCAGTTTACAAAAACGTGACTGTACTCAAGGGGAAGCTGTCTTCTCAGTGGTAAAATGTTTTACATAGCTGAAGTTAAAAGCAGTGTGAAAATGAAATTTTCAAGGATAACACATCCTATGTGCTATCAGTTTTCTAAGTAGAATGGAAAAATGGATGGAATTCAAACCATACATAAAACATCCTGTAAAGCTTGTAAATTTATGCAGGAATTGCCACAAAGGATAAAAGTCCTTGGCAATAACCCTTTATACTGCTAAAATTGACAAGCTTTTATTCTGTATTAGAATTCCACTTAGACCACTTGATACAGCCTTTTTTTTAAAATAAATGTGATGAGTTCATTTCTTCGGGCTTGTAATAACATTGTGTACATCTTTGTCTTCTATGATGGTAAGAGGAAGGTCCTCTTTATACCACATACACATTGGACCAGGCTGAAAATGTAGTCAAAGGACCAGTTGTATATTATTGTAATTGAAAATGAGGTTGTATTAAATAACCAATGTAATCTTGGCTATTACTATGGACTACCTGACGGGTGTATATCATAAGTGAGGTATATTGTATGAATTATTTATTTGTAACTGAAGATTTAAGTTTCAAAAAATAAAGCTAAGTAAGATTGAGTTTCATAAATTAGGCCCTGTACTTCCTGCTTTTACACTTCCTAAAAAGAGGGCATTTATTTTAATCCCTGAATCCCTCTGAGCCATTAAGTTTGTAATAAAGCAAAAAAAAATGTTACCTAAAAATCTGTTTAAACTATGTCACTTCACCTTTCAAGATGATGAGTTAAAATCACTTGGAATGTTGCATCCCCAAAGGGAAGTCTGTTTGGTTTGGTTTTTTGTTTTGCTTTGTTTTTTTCTCCTTTGTTTGGAAACCTTTTTGCCAAGACAGGAGACATTTAATTGTTTCTATCTTCAGCTTCATTTTTCTCTCCCAAATTATAAATGTTCATAGTACATCTTAAATGTGTGTTATTCTTGTGTGGTGCCAATATTTAGTACTTCAGTAATGTGCTAAGCAATTTGTAAACAATATATAAATGCTGTTTCTTTTATTATTTCTACAATTCAGACCTTTATATGGTTGCCCTTGTTTGGGAAGGGGTATGGGAAGGGCGTCAACACCCCTCTTCCCCTCATATTCTGAGAATATAAATATAGGCTTAAAGATATGAGTTGTTTTTTGGATCCTGTCACATTTATATTGATTACATGACAAAGGTTCAAGATAAATGTAGGAATATCAATCATGTGATCTGTTTAGGAATAAATTGGTGTTGAATCTCTTAGGTCTCTGTTTTGTCTAAATATGATAAACTAATCTTTATTTTTATAATGCCAATCATGGTAGTATCTTGTTGCTTTAAAATACAATTCTATTACTTTGTATATTAATATGCACCCATAGTTCAGGTCTTCAATATTTTTTGGACTTTCTGAGGTAAAAATGGTACTGACTGGATATTAATTATTTCCTAGTTTGTTGCGTCTCCTGAGCAGGCATAAGAGGATGCTAGATTCCTCCATGTATGCTGTGTTTTGAATAATATTTTTCTAATGGTGGAACTTATTCTGGATAACTTAAACAGTTTAAACTTATTCTGGATAATTTGATTCATTTGAATTGATTTTACTAAGGTCCTTCAGCTGCAAAACTCTTTGTAGGGGGCTCTGTATGATTACTCAAATAACGAGAACAAAAAGTTATAGCACCTAATCTCAGGGTGAAGTTAAAAAAAAAAGATAAAATGTTACTTAACTGTTTTGAAAACCTTAATTTTTAGAGTTTTTAATTTTCAAGGTACAGTTTCAAAAAAAAGATTGAACGAGTCTCATGCCATGAAGCCAGAGCCCTAAAGCCACACTAGTGGTTTTTAAATTGTTCCACAGAGCCCTGGTGTTCTGCAGTAGGTCATCAGGGATACGGCAGTGAGACTGGGAGTGATGGCAGATGGGCTGGGAAG